CAGGCTGACATACACAGGCTACCATATGTCTTTACCCGTTTGTGTGTGTGTGTGTATGTATGTACCATTCTCGTTTGGCCAACTTTGTATTGGTGGCACACGAACAGCGTCTTGTCCAAGCTATAACGTCTTGTCTGCCTGCACAGTATTCGTGACAAGTCCGTCCTGACATGAATTAATGCTCTGCCTAATGGAAGAAGACAAGTGACTTGGGAAAAGCATTATTTTATTTCTCACTTTGTTTCTGATGCGACAAGCGAGAGAGGTTGGTATCGGTGGGACAAGCACTAAGCAGATAAAGCGAAAAAGCGTGCTTATTTGTCTCCTGTCCCGTTGGACCGTCGTCTCCGTGTTTATATATATGCATGTGTGTGTATGTGTCTGCGTGTGTGTTTGTGTTTGTGTCAAGGGAGAAGCGGTTGTGTCCAGTTGGCACCAGTGACAGAGGCCAGAGCGAATACGCTTAGTTGGCTAATGCCAGATTGGAATTGCCTGTCTCAGGTGATGAGCTGAGGTGAATCAGGCCAAGGAGGAGGGCGAGAGGATAATGTCGGTGGGGAAGACGAAGCTGGAGATTTGTGGGCAAAAGCATTTGTTATTCTATATTGCACTGTAATCTGCCATGGTTACAGACGCATAACCATTGATCTCTACCGCCTCAGAAGGCAGTGAAATGGTACGAGCTTCTGTGTGTATTCCGTAGGATAAATTCAGCCATTTCCGATTGATTGTATATGCTCAACTTATGCAAACTTTTTCGAAGGCAGTCACTTTGTGGTTTCATAAAGCGACTTATTGCTAGCATTATTTTAATAACAACTTTCTTATAATAAGTTAATTAGGCTGAGTTAGGGACTGATGCTGGAGCAGGCCTTGCGAGATCGTTGAATATGAATGAGTCTTTACGCCGAAAATATATGCTCTTCTTGTTTGGATTGCAGTTTCGAGCTTAACTCGATGTCATCTTCTCTCTGAACTGGATTCCAAACTGGGTCGTGACCATCATGACGTCAAATTGCCACACGGCTAGACGGTCGCGAGCTCCAGCGAGTCGCAAGACATCACATTTATGGCGGGGTTGTCTATAAGGCCATATCCTGCAAAACTCTGTGATCTACCACCTCCGACTTTTGGAGCCATATTTATTTTTATATCTTCTTTAAGTTGGCCTTTTAAAACAAATATTTAAGCTGTAAGCAGGAAGAGAATAGAGGTTGTGGGTTTGAGTGTCTGGAAATGTATCAAATCGGTAGTACAAGGACAGAAATTATCATGACTCTTCTGGCAGAGAAAACAGGATGGGTACATTTTTCAGTGACTCAACAGGAGTTTTCACGCGCCATACATTCAACTAGGAAGTTAAATATTTACTTACTTATTAATTATTTATCTATCTATCAATTTATTTATTTATTCCATTTACTAGCAATATGCTTATTTATTCGATTCTTTTACTATAAAGTTATTTGAATTTAATAAAGTTTGCCGTCATTTTGGCTCTCTAGGTTCACATTTCGGCCTGTTCCCACGACCCTCTACAGGATTGAATAGAAGCGGCCCGTCGGAGAACCAGCACAGTCCGCTGCCAGTAATCACGGCTTCGCAGGTGGACAAAACCAGCGGTTGCGGCGATTCTGAGGCCGCCAGTGACGCCAATCTTGAGGCCAGTCAAACAAAATTGGCCAGAACTGTCGGCGCCCCAGAGGTTCGTGGCAAAAGGCTTGGCGTCGACACGCTTTGCGGCAACGAGAACGACCAGCCGACTGAGTCGGCCAGACGGGACGACGTAAAAGTGGCCCGAACGGATAGTGCCTGGACTGGTAAAGAGGCCAGTGGACTGTACCACTCTGTCGAGAGGACAGTGGATCGGCATTTTGTCATCCAGCCCTTACAGGAGCTCGAGAAGACCGGCCAAAATAGCCCCGAAAAAAGCACCGATCTACACCTTCCTGCATCTTCCTCCTCCTCCTCTTCCTCTTCTTCCTCTTCCTCTTCTTCTTCTTCTTCTTCTTCTTCTTCTTCTTC